TTAGCTCTGTGGCTGTCTTGGGTCCCTGGCTAGGTTTCCTTGTTAGGTTGGGCTGAGGGCTATGCTTCACTGTGGTGTAGAGCTATGGCCTTGCTTTCCTGTTTTAGCAGGCTGTAGGGTGTGCTGTGCAGCCACATGGCATCTTTGGCCACTTACTTTGGGCTGTAGGATGTGTTACATGGTTGCCTTGCATCTCAGGCCAGACTTCCTCCTTCAGTGGGGCTAGCAGCTAGACACAGCCGTGGGCAAACTACGGGCTGGATCCGGCCCGCAGAGCCGAAAGAGCGGAGGGTTCTCTTGTTCTCCCCTCCGCTCCTTCACCAGCAGCAGTGTTAACATGGCAACGTGGGGAAACACAGCGGCAGCTCCTTCTTCTGAGTCCAGTTTAAGAACCCATTGTGGCCCTCGAGTCAAAAAGTTTGCCCACCCTGGGAGGCTATGCTCTTTCAACAATACAGCCTTCTGGCTGGTGACCCAAACCAGGCAGAATTGCCAGTTAAACTCCTTATCCAGTTGGGGCCACTGGCTCAGCTATGCAAATGATCAGAGCCGCTAATTGGAATATCCTCTGAGGCCCCACCTCTGGCAGGAACAGTTTGCCAAGATCCCTGTACTTATTGTGAGCTCCTCCTCCTCTTCTATCTCTAGCTAACTTTCCCAGTTATCTCCATGAGGCATACTTAGTGGGCCTCCCAGGAATCATGCAGAATGCTAGGGAAGCTTGATGTCCAGCTTGCGCTCTCCTTTCCCACCAGAGAAACTGCAGGCCAGGGGGACCCCCTCCCTGCCGCACTGCGCTGACCTGGGGGAGGAACAATGTGGGCAAAGTGAAGCTGCTCCTTCCCTTCCTCATGCTGTTTTCCTTGGTTTTGTAGTCTAAGGGATTGCTTTAGCCTTACCCCTGTATGCCGGGATCTTTACAAAGGTATTTTGTCTATGAATAGTTGCTAGTTGCTCTTCCCCTGAGAGGGAACAACCTATTTGTCATCTATCTGACATCAGTTTCCTGGTTCAAGTTTTATCAAACTATTGTTTCATACATTGTGCCTAGATTTTCAGTTGTTTCAGGCATAATGGTAAGTATGATCTCTTATTGCATCTAGGTCAGAAGATGTTCTGTATATTTTTTGCCGTGAGTATGATTAAAAAACCAAAAAAAGCACATAATTCTCTAAATATTCACATAGAGACTTTTCTTGCAGATTGACTCTTCTAATTGGGGTTTGGAAAAAATGGTCCTATGTGTACTTTATTTTTTTTTTTACATTGAATTTTCTATTTTTTATAAATCTACAGTTTACCCATAATTGGATTAGATTATTGTATATAATAATGTAATATAAATCACTGATGCATTTATGTTTTATTGGAATCAGATTATATTTAGTACTTAATGGAACGCTGCTGAAAAAATCTTATGCTATTTTTCATGCTTGTTTTCCCTTCTTATTCCACCAATATATGAAGAAATGAGATAAAAAAGAGAACTTAGACATATCTTTCTATTGCCTGAAATTTTGTATTACTAATTTGTGTTATGGAAAAAAGGACATCCTTGTCCTGTGGCATATTGCTGCCAAAATAAATTTCCAGAGGTAATAGTTTTATTCTGTTTTAAAATTATTTCTTAAAAACCAGTCATCTAATTCAGAAAGAGAGTAAGAGCCAAGTTTTAAAAATTATATACTAGGAAATGCCTCATTTATAAATGTATACATATTTGTGCTCATAAGTTGGGTAAGTGTGCACCTAACAACTCTATTCATTTTATCATTATTCACTTTGTGTGTATAAAAATGAAGGCTTTTTAATTCAAGTTCTGTGGCCTGGGACACTCATGATTGGGACATGGTTATATTTCATGCTTCTGTTCAGTGTTAATGCATACAGTTTCATGGGAAATTATAGAATACCTTATTTACTCTGGTATATCTATAACAAGGGGTTATGTATTCTGAAGGGGTATAAGTAATTAAGAGTTAATTTGGCTTCATCTGTTATATAAAGCATATATAAATCTATATTGGAGTCTTTGCATCAGAGGACTAAGTTGACATCTGAATTGAAGTTCTTCTAATTTAAAAATTATGTTTCCTTAAAATGATTGTGATGGTTAAAATAGATATCCTAGGCATTTTGAGATTATAGCTCATCTCTAAAATGACTGAGCCCAGATACAGTAGTCCTGATAAAGTTTATTGACAGACACTGTGCTAATAGATTTTAGAAGAAAAAATAGTCATTATTTAGTCTAAACAATAATTTTGCAAAATCATAAATGTATAAATATATTTATATATATTATATATAGATAACACACACACACACACACACACACAGATTATTATGACCACTTGACATTTGTAGGCAAATTAGCTATAGTTTCACGCTGAAGTTGCTAGAGGGCCAGACCATTATAAATAGGGAAACAGGTTGTTTACCACGCCAATAGAAGTGATTTTTTTCTGACGATATGGGTAAACAACGCCTTTGAACGTGGGATATATATATCTTTTCTATACACACACAGACACACACACACACACAGATTATTATGACCACTTGACATTTGTAGGCAAATTAGCTATAGTTTCACGCTGAAGTTGCTAGAGGGCCAGACCATTATAAATAGGGAAACAGGTTGTTTACCACGCCAATAGAAGTGATTTTTTTCTGACGATATGGGTAAACAACGCCTTTGAACGTGGGATATATATATCTTTTCTATACACACACAGACACACACACACACACAGATTATTATGACCACTTGACATTTGTAGGCAAATTAGCTATAGTTTCACGCTGAAGTTGCTAGAGGGCCAGACCATTATAAATAGGGAAACAGGTTGTTTACCACGCCAATAGAAGTGATTTTTTTCTGACGATATGGGTAAACAACGCCTTTGAACGTGGGATATATATATCTTTTCTATACACACACAGACACACACACACACACAGATTATTATGACCACTTGACATTTGTAGGCAAATTAGCTATAGTTTCACGCTGAAGTTGCTAGAGGGCCAGACCATTATAAATAGGGAAACAGGTTGTTTACCACGCCAATAGAAGTGATTTTTTTCTGACGATATGGGTAAACAACGCCTTTGAACGTGGGATATATATATCTTTTCTATACACACACAGACACACACACACACACAGATTATTATGACCACTTGACATTTGTAGGCAAATTAGCTATAGTTTCACGCTGAAGTTGCTAGAGGGCCAGACCATTATAAATAGGGAAACAGGTTGTTTACCACGCCAATAGAAGTGATTTTTTTCTGACGATATGGGTAAACAACGCCTTTGAACGTGGGATATATATATCTTTTCTATACACACACAGACACACACACACACACAGATTATTATGACCACTTGACATTTGTAGGCAAATTAGCTATAGTTTCACGCTGAAGTTGCTAGAGGGCCAGACCATTATAAATAGGGAAACAGGTTGTTTACCACGACAATAGAAGTGATTTTTTTCTGAAGATATGGGTAAACAACGCCTTTGAACGTGGGATATATATATCTTTTCTATACACACACAGACACACACACACACACATATATTAGTTTCCTATTGTTGCTGTAACAGATACCACAGACTGTGATTTAAAACAATATAAATTATTCTCTTACATTTGGGGGCGGGGAGCAGAAGTCCGAAATGAGTTTCACTAGGGCAAAACCAACCTTTTTAGCAGGGCCACAGTCTCTAGAGAAACTCTAGGGGAGAATCTGTTTCTTTGCCTTTTCTAGCTTCTAAAGGTGCATTTCTTGCATTTGTTGTTCATGACCCCTTCCTCCATTTTCAATGCTAATAGCCACACTAACTTTTCCCTGTTTGTAGTAAAATCTTCATCTGTGCTCATAAATTGGGTAATTGTGCACCTCACACTTGTGATTACAACTTCATGATCCTTCCCCAGGCCTGCAGTCAGAGAATTGAGAGGATCAGCATTTCTAATACTTTGTGATAGGAACCCTTGTGATTACAATTTTGGCCAACCTAGGTAATGCAAGACTGTCTCCTCACCTGAAGATCCTTGACTTAGGTCGTACATTTAAAGTTTCTTTTGCCATGTAAAGAAGCTTTCCAGGATTAAGATGTAGATATCTTTTATGGCCCAAATGGAGGACAAAATGCTGCCAAAAGTCACATAAAACAAAACATGTTAGAAACCAGTACAGTTGGGAAAGAAGTTTTGTGGATAGATTGATAATATAAGCAAGGGATCCTGGAGTTCTTCCACTATGTTCCAAAATTTTGTATTGTTGACTGATTTTTTTTTTCTGATACAAACAAATGAGACATTAATCTTCAGTTTTTTTCTGATATATTTCATCTTCTACTCTTGTCTTGCCCTATAAAACAAATACTTAGTAATATAAGGTCATGCGTTCATGAATTGGAGCACAGATTTACACAGCTTGATATTATGCTTAATTTAGAAATAATTTACATTTGATATTTGAACGTAGACACATGTTCAGATATGTGCTTTCATATTTCTTTTAAACCTTTTCGTCACCCTCTTTTTCACCTTTGTTATTCTCAACATTAATGAAGGATTGACCACTTTGCCACTGATGGCAAAGTTTTTCTAAGCAATATTATGAGAGTTTTTTTTAGGAGAGAATTCTAAAGGTTCCTTAAGTCCTAGGAGATCTCAGAGCTAAATTATTATCATTATTATTATTTTTTTTGATGAGGGATCATGAATTTATTTACTCAATCATCTACACACCAGGTGGCTGAGCCTGGATTATTTTTTGCTGTTATTATTCAGTATCATTCCAGTGTTTACATTTTATTGTATACCTTTGGAGAGAAAATTTTACTTGGTACTTCTAATATATGGCTCAGTGACTTCTACAGTTTCCAATAAGTATGTTTTAGCATGTAACTTTGTTAAGTGTGTATTTTGTTGCATAATTTATAAGGTAGATGTTTACATTTTTCTTTCCTGAACTACAGAATACCAGAAGGCCCTGTTGATCAGGGGCCAGCTTCTGGAAGGATTCGTGCATTAGAAGAGCAGCTTGTGAAGGCCAAAGAGCAAATTGAAAATTATAAGAAACAAACTAGAAATGGTAGGTGATTATACAGTATATTTCTCTCCTCGATCTATTGATATTAGTACCAATAATTGAAAATTTTATTTCATCAAAATATTGGAAATGCTGATACTCCTAATTCTTTGACTGCAGGTCTGGGGAAGGATCATGAAATTCTGAGGAGGAGGATTGAAAATGGAGCTAAAGAGCTCTGGTTTTTTCTACAAAGTGAATTGAAGAAATTAAAGAATTTAGAAGGAAATGAACTCCAAAGACATGTGGATGAATTTCTGTCAGATTTGGGAGATCATGAAAGGTACACTTTTTACTTTACAGTTCATTTGGGCTTTAGTAAAAATTATAATCTAAGAATGGAAAGCTGGAACTTTTGGTAATTTCCCTGTTGGATGGTAAATGATGCCTACCATAGTTAGGAGTAGGAGAATACCTGAGATCTCAAAGGATAATAATTGCCAGATGTAGTTCATCAACTAAAAATATATCATGGGACGATATTATTTAAAACATATTTCTAGTCTGGCCCGTTGTGACTCAGTGGTTGAACATTGACCCATGAACAGGAGGTCAAGGTTCAATTCCTGGTCAGGGCACATTCCTGGGTTATTGGCTCAATTCCCTTTAGAGGGTGTGCAGGAGAAAACTGATCAATGATTCTCTCTCATTATTAATGTTTCTATCTCTCTTTCCTTCTCTCTTCCACTATCTGAAATAAATAAAAATATATTTAAAAAGTAAATAAATAAAACATTTTTAGAAATCTCTATACCCTAAGTAAATTCTGAAGGTAGTGGTATAAGCCAACAATACTTTGGAAATCTGTAAATTTCCTTCATATACAATCGATATTTGAAGTGGAGTCTGCAGTTTTATATTATAATATACTGGAACTCATGCTGAGCTGGCAATTACTAGTATGTTTCTAATTCAGACATTAAAAACATTAAAATAGTCTCTTTTTAGGGTTTGTAATTAAAGATGAACAGGTTTTTGATCAAAGGGATCATTCTGTTGCATTTAGTTGCTAGAAAGAAGAACCTGAAATCTGCCTAATTCTTCTGTTTGCACTTTTTTTGAAAATAATACAGTTTATTACATAGAAAAGAAAACATTTTGGTACTGGTATGTTTATGCAGAGCAAAATGTATCTGAGAATCATTATAAATACAGTGAAAACTGTCCTTAGCCCTATTATATTTATGTCTATATTCCCAGTAGGACTGTAATGGCAATTACTGTCTCATTAGTGAACAATAAATGAAAAATTGTTCTATTAACACAACCTACCACTGTGAAGAGAAAAAGAGTTACCCTATTACAATAGGATTCATATATATTAACATCATTAGCAATATTGCAGTGATTTTGAAATACTGACCTGCTCTTTTATTTAAGTGAAATTACAAATAAAATCTATCAGTTTATTTGACTCATTTTAACATTAATGAATCTACAGAAGTAAGACAGTTTGAAATCAAGGGACATTGAATTATTATTCCATTGGACAGGTCCTTTGAAATTTTTAGCCTAGTTTGCAATCAAGTAGTAGTTAGACCATTAGACCAAATGATGACTAATTCTGCCCTTAATGCTTCTCTACCTTCAAGCTAATTCTAGGTACCAAGATTCTGTTAATTGGAGCTGTGTGTTTGCATGCTTTACTTATTGCAATTTTATGGGGAAATCCAACTCCGAAGAGGATTTGAGTTGGGTAAACTGTGGTATTTAAAAGAGAATTTTGACTGTTGACTTCTGATGGAATGTTTAAAGTTTGGGTGATTTAATTAAATTACTTGAGAATCAAAGTAATTATTTAAAGAATTATTTTGTACATATATTTTGTTACCAAATGTAGAAACAGCATACAAATGAAAAACGTTAGGCCCTGGATACTTGATGTACAGTAAATCAGTGTTACATTTTTGTAAGTTGAATTATGATTCCTGACACTACCTTTTAGTATATGTTAAATAATAACATTGAATTGGATTAAACATTATAATAATACTAGGGGCCCGGTGCATGAAATTTGTGCACTGGGTGGGGGTAGGGTGGGAGGGAGTGTCCCTCAGCCCAGCCTGCCCCCCCTCACATACTGGGAGCCCTCAGGCATTGACCCTCCTCACCCTCCAATCGCAGGATCGGCCCCTTGCCCAGGCCTGATGCCTCTGCCAGAGGCG